CCCTAAACCCTGAACCTAAACCTTAAAACTCGGCGTGTTAGGCACTCTCCGAGTTTCTGCAGCCGCCGCGGCGCCCATGGCATCCGGGCAGCCCCAGCTGGCCGGGTGGGGGCAGGGGCGTTCCCCGAACTTTGTGGGTTTAAGGGCTTTTGGGGTTTAGGGTTTAGGGTTTAGGGTTTGGGGTTGCGGGTTTAGGGTTTAGGGTTTAAGGGTTTAGGGTTTTAAGGCTTCGGGTTTAGGTTTAGGGCTTGAGCAACAAGAGCCACAAATTACTGCTACTGCTCCTCGGAATCCTGAGCACAGTTATATAAGCATATGCCCCAAAACCGTATTCCAATTACTGATTCCCATATATTGACCTAGTGTCATGTCGATGTCCTTCATGCTAACCTTAAAGAAACCTCAAAATCCTAATACAAATGAAGAGCCGGAAAATTGGAACCCCAGGAGACAACGGACATCAGTGGAAACATAGGAGAAAACCAGAACATGACTCGTAGGATACGGGTAACTCTTATGAAAATTAGCAAGGTTTAGGGTTTATGGTTTTAAGAACTCTGAACACCATTAGAAAACCCAGGAAACCAACCAACACCATGCAAACACAATAGAAATTGAATGGTCTTCCGCTGTTCTCTTGACTTTCCTCAATCAATAGGAGAATAGGAGAAGCATCGGAGAAGTGTAGGAGAAACATAGCGGCCACATAGCCAAAACGTAGGAAAACATAGGAAAGCGTAGAAACAACTAGAAAGCACCGGTAGTATCTGGAGGAACGTTAGAAAACCTATGAAAGCACAAGACAGCTTACATAATAACAACCATAGAAAAGCAATGGCTCTTCCATGCAGTTCCCTGAAAAGTTTCTTGTTTTACATCCAGAGTTTGGGGCTGTATGGTCCGTACACCCTACACCCCCGAAAGTCCAGAGCCCCAAATTGACCCTTTAGCCCCAGCCTAAAGGACCCTGAGCTGCCTAAGCTGTCTTGATACCAGGTAGCTCAGAGCCCCTTCTTGAAAGGCGAACCGCCACATTGGCTGCAAAGCAAAGCCTAGCCTGGGTCGCCACATGGAGGCTCGATCTCCATAGCTTCTTTGGCGGTCTTTGTTACAACAAGGTTTCTCCAGGTCCTTCTGGGCTCGTTATGAGTACTATCGTTATTGTCGTTGTGCTCAGTCGCTGTCAGGCGCTGTCACCATCAGCACCTTTGCTCGCCTGAATATGTAGTATGAACGTCAGTGCTGCTTGTATTGCTGTGCATAGTTTTGGTGTGCGTGGTGCTGCAGCAGCAGCTGCTGCTGTTGATGTTGCTTTTGCGGTTGCTGTTGCGGTCATTGCTGTCGCTGCTTTTGTTGTCGTCGTCGTTGTTGTTGCTGCAACTGCAACTGCAACTGCAACTGCAACTGCAACTGCAACTGCAACTGCTACTGCTACGCTGCTCCTGCTCCTACTCCTGCTACGGCTGGCAATGGCAACTATTGCTATACTGCTACTGCTACTTCTACGACGACAAGTGCGACGACCACGACCACTACGGCTACGGCTGCCCCACTGTGACTGCGACTACGAATGACAATGCCGACGACGATGACGAGAGCTAGCACCAGCACCGACGACTATGACCAGCACCACTACCTCCACGACCTTCCTACTATCCCTGGTGCTGACCTGATCTCCAAATCGTACAGAATCGGAGCTGAATCAGTATTGCTGTTCTGCGATACTTATGAGGCTTGCTGCCGTTGTTGGTACGCATGATTTGAAGGGTGTTGATGGTGACGATGATGATGTGAATGAGTCTGTGCTACAGTACTTACAACAGCTGGAAACACCTCACCCGGCCTGACTGGTGTAAGACCATGCCAGATGCTGGTTCCCCCGGCAGTGATGTGAGATATGGACTTGAAATCTGGATCTGCATGTCATTGCCCGAACGAATCTTCACGTTCTTCTTGTTGGCTGTTAAAAAATTCGAGTGTCTATATTATGGCTTTTCTAATTATCCTTGTTGTTGTGTAATCACGTATGTAATTACGCACACCTGACCCTGAACCCGAAATCCAAAGCCTTGCAGCCAGGCTCCCAGTCCAGCCACAGGCCCAACGAGCTCAGGCACAGCAGCCGAGATGGTCGGGGTTCCGGTTTAGGGTTTAGGGGTTTAGGGCTTTAGGGTTTAGGGTTCCGGTTGTATCGTCACAAAACTACAAGAGCTTCAGAAGTGCTTTAGTTCGCGATGGTTTGGGCATGGGATCATTATTAGAAGGACTCTTTGAGATGGACCTTTCCTTCCACATGGACCGGAAGAGCACACAGAACAGCGGTCGAGGGATTCATTTTGAACATGGGTTTCTTTGAATTTCAGAGAAGCGGACCTGGCGGCGGCCGGCCTCTTAAACTACAGGGGATATAGAAGATTGCATACTTACCCATATTATTCCTGAGGTTTCCCTATAGTTAAGTTCTCCAAAGCCCTTCTAAGCATTAAGGCCCCGAGACTAAGCCTCCAGACTGGTGTTGGTTTAGCGTGAACTCTGCTTTCAACTAACTTGTTCGAGCCTTTGAAACTGAATGTTTCCACAGTGCACCAAAATCACGGATAGAAGACCGAAGCTCCAAGCCTCAGAAGCCCGAAGCACAATCCTTCGGAGCAGGCATTGAAGCTGTGGGTCTTCGGTACGCATTGCTCGGCATCTCGCATTGGAGACCTGTGGTGTAAGGTTTAAACTCTTTTTGGGTCGAGGTTTTCGGCTTTACGTTTTGAGTTTAGGGTTTTTATCATTTACGGAATTTCGGGTTTTGGGTTTTTGGGTTTTACTATCTAGATTGCCATTTGGGGTTGAGGGTGGAGGTCCGCAGGCTTAGGTCGCGCAGGGTTCAGCTGGTTCCGGCGAAGCTATCTTCTTGCCGAGCCCCTGGCTACTTGGGTCAGACCACTGAGGCGTTCTAGAAAGTAGAGCCTCTAATTTGGGACCCCGTGCTACTAAAGGGTACTTTACAGGACCACCTTTAAGGGATCTACTTGTTGCCTGCTCCCGAAATTGTGGGTTGAGGGTAAGGAACTTCCGAGAAGTTCGCCCAAGGAAAGTGATGACAAGTCATCCGGTCTTATTCCGAAGCCTGAAACCCTCAACCCTTAACCCTACACACACACATAGATATTCAAACCCTGCAACGAAGCCTGGAGCCCAAATCCGTGAAGCTTACGTAGAAGAAGCAAGATGCCTCGAAGAGGAAGCAGACCAGTATTTGGGACCCCTTCCCTTCTCAGAGGTATGCGTTTTCAACGCTAGACCACAAACCTAAAGCACCAACCAACCAAAGCGCTACAGCCCTGCGCCTCAAAACCTCGACCCTGAGCCGTACATTCCCAACCCTATAAGCCCATGCTAGCCCTAAGCCCAAATCGTCAAAGCCTTAAGCCCAACAATTTGCTGCTAAAACCTAAACCGTAAAGTCCTAAACTCTGAATCGTAAGCCTTAAGCCCTGAACCCTAAACAACCCTAAACCCTAAACCCTAAACCCTAAACTCTAAACTCTAAACCCTAAACCGTGATCTCGAACCCTGCACCGAGGTGATGGCAGAGCCGATCTCTGCCATCTCTCTGCTCTTAGCTGAAGAGTTTCAGCTCCATGTGACATGGTGGGGGTTCCCAGGGTTTTAGATTTTAGGGTTTAGGGGGGGCGCGTTGTTGGTTTGAGCTTAGGGTTCTTTTGGGGCTCAGGGGCTAGCAGGGCTGATAGGCTGTTTTGGGGCTTACAGCTTCCGGGGCTTTACGAAACCCAACTTGGGGCTTGGCGGTATGGGCTCCCAAACTAGGCTTCCTGGCATTATTGGGACTGTTGGGGTTGTCAGGGCTGTTAGGGGTTGATTTCAGGCTTAGGTTTCGGGGTTTAATGGCCTTGAGTGGGGCTCAAGTCTTCTGGGTGGAAGGTCTTGGTTCCCTAAACCCAAGACCCTAAGCCAAACCCCAAACCCTAAAACCCTAAACCGTTCCGCGATGCCTTCTAACTGCGTGTTTGCCCTTAGTCTGGTCATATAATATAGGTGCCTGAATAATTACTAACGTTATTGGGGTTACTTACTGTAAATATAGCATAATGGGCATCAAAACCCTATTCTAATCATCAAGGACCCTATATTAGGTGCTTGCAGCGCACCCTCAATGCTGCAGGCCACTACACCCCGAAACCTGAATTGTGTTCTACAAATGGGTGGTTCTCTAAATTAGGGTCCCTTTCTAGGAACCCAATATAGTACGGCACCCTTTTTGAAAGGACCCCCAAAGGGACTGGCTCCGATAATTGAGTTTTTGCTAGGGCTGCGCTGGACCCCAAGGCCGGAAAGCGACAGGTGGTGGGTTTAGGGTTTAGGGTT